CTATAAAGGGGGAGCATGAGGGAACCTTGTGGTGATGGAATAGTTCTGTATCTTGATTGTAGTGGTGGTTACACAAATCTACACGTGACAAAACTGCATAGTGCGTAATACTACACACACACACACACAACTGAGTGCATGTAAAAACACCAAACCAGTTTCATCGAGTCTACTCTGACTCATGGCAACCTCGCGTGTCAGGGAACAACTATGCTCTATAGGGCTTTCAATAGCTGATGTTTCACCAATAGATCTTCAGGCCTTTTTTCCAAGGTGCATCTGGGTGAACGCAAACTTCCAACCTTTCAGTTTGCAGCCGAGCACCATAACCCTTTGTGCCACCCAGGTAACTGGTGAAATTGGAATAAACTGTTAATCGTTATCAACATCAATTTTCAGGTTTTGTTATTGCACTACATTTATAAGATGTCAACTTTGAAGGAGGTGGGGTGAAGGGGGCCCATAACCTCTCTGTACATTTCTTCGCAATCTCCTGTAACTGTATAATTATTTAAAAATAAGACTTTAAAAAAAATCTTTAACCAATAGGTCAGATTAATTATAAATATATTTTAGAAAAGGGTCAATGAGCTTTTTCTTCACTGACTAGCATTTCACAAGGTAAAACTGCAAAAGAAAAAAACAAGGTCTACGGCAAAGAGAAAAGAGATATACAAAGTTACCTGCTTAGTAAGTTGCTCTTCACAGAGTTTGTAAAGAACATAAAATTTCTGAGCCAAGATTACATTTTCAAGAAAACCACAGCTTGCAAGTTTAACTCGCATAATGATCTGAAAATTAATACATGATATCAGTCAACAACTTAGTGGAAAACAGGTAAAGAATACACACTATATATATTATGTTCTGCTTTTAAATCCGGGTGCATACCTGTCTATCAGGAACCATCATCGCGACAGTTCTGAACTGAATTTTTAAGTTTTCTGGCAGTTCCTGCCGCCCAGCATATCCAGGGTTCTAAAAGTTAAAATATACTTAATTTGTAATTGTTGGTATAATTGGCATTTCATGCATACAAATACATTTGAAATTCCTTGTTCAGATTCTAAGGTGATATTGAAAAACATTAAATTCATAAAATGTCCTTCCTTTCTCAAAAAGGTAGATTGGAACATTGATATTTATTAATCTCAGATCATGTCCATTTTCATTATACTAATAAAGTCCCACATACGGGCGCGCATGCTCGTACTTTGTGTAGCAAAATTAACCATTTGTGTGTATACTGGTTTAAAAAAACAAGAAAGTAAAAGAAAAGAAAACTGAATAAATATCTGGATAATTATAGTCTAAAATACGTAGCTGAAAGAGGGGAAAAAGTTAGGGTTTTATACTGATCAGCTTACTCAGATAATTTTTGTCCCATCTTTTCAATTATTCTTTGCAGTCATTGTTACAGAGTTCTTTGGCTGACAAAGCACCATTAAAAAACAAAACCAACCATGGGGGTGAGAGGAAATAAAGAAGGAATGAAGAGACAAAGAAAAATGACAAAAGAGGAGGTAGAAAGGAAGCTAAGGCCTCTCAAGTAGCAACAGGTTAGGATAGGTTGGACCCAGAAGTCCTAAAGGAAAGGTTGGAAGTTCAAGGGCAAGTCAGATAAATAGGAGTCAGTTATTTTAGGAAAGTACATTAAGACATTTTCAATTCCTGAACACTTACTGGGCACTTTCAATTGACCAGATGCCTTGCTAGGTGCTGGGAATACAGAGATCGCTGGTTGTCTCCCAATACTTCTCCTTCCTTAGTCACGGAACCCCAGTTGCAAGAGTGGAACAGTGAAACCCGTGACAGCCGAAACTTGATGGGACTGCCTTGCTTTTCCGGGTCTCAAAAGTTTTCTGCCTTTGACAGGTAGCAGTCTTACCACTTTTCTATCACTGTCTATTAGTGGACAATATTTGTGTTTTCCTTCTCTGACAGGTTTCTGTCTGACACAGGTTCTGGCTTTCGAAGGTTTTACTGTACATCACTACCCAGACCAAAAACCACATTTCCCAGTCTGCCTTGCAGTTGGCATGATTAAATTCTACACAGTGAGACCCAAAAGGACACATTGTATGAAATATCCCTGATGTTTGTGTTAAGGGAGTTGATTTAATCATTTGGCTGCAACAAAATAAAGATGCTTCTGTAGCCTTTTGAGTCATGCGGTGACCTTAAAGATGGAAACCATGAGGGAGCAGGAACACAGAAGGATCTTCAGAGAAAAAATTCTTATGTGTTAATCCACTATTTTTCATGTCTCACTAACTCACAGCCCAATGCAATATCTAATTGATATTTCCAATATTATCCTTAATTCAGAGAGAATGTTAAACTTCTTTTAAATTTCCTAGGCCGCAGTATCACAGTGAGTAAATTTCTTCATCCTGTTTCCAGAGTTATAATTGATCACTTCTGAATTATTACTGTTTCCTCCTAACTGCTTTACTGGATGTTTGCTTAACAAAAACTTTTCTGATTTTTCTTCCTGTACTTTATCTTTGTGCCCTGGGACACTTACAACTTAGAGCACTTTGTGTTATCTTGCAACTTAGTGATTTTATTGTATAAGGAACATTTATAAAATGATTAAACAAAACTGGCTCGACATTCACTTCTCTAATTCACGTTGTTAGCGCCATCAAGTTGGCTCCAACTCATAGCGACCCTGTGTACAACAGAACAAGACACTGCCCAGTCCTGCACCATCCCCACAGTCATTGTTATGCTTCAGCCCATTGTTACAGCCACTGTGTCAATCCATCTCCTTGAGGGTCTTCCTCTATTTTGCTGACCCTCTACTTTTCCAAGCATGATGTCCTTCTCCAGGGACTGATCCCTCCTGATAACACGTCCAAAGTATGTGAGATGAAGTCTCGCCTTCCTTGCTTCTAGAGAGCATTCTGCTGTACTTCTTCCAAGATAGATTTGTTTGTTCTTTTGGAAGTCCATGGTATATTCAATATTCTCGGCCAACACCATAATTCAAAGGCAACAATTCTTCTTCGATCTTCCTTATTCATAGCCCAGCTTTCCCATGCATATCAGGCGAATGAATATACCTTGGGTCGGGCGCACCTTAGTCCTCAAAGTGATATCTTTGCTTTTTAACACTTTAAAGAGGTCTTTTGCAGCAGATTTGCCCAACGCAATATGTTATTTGATTTCTTGACTGGTGCTTCCATGGGCTTTGATTGTGGATCCAAGTAAAATGAAATCCTTTACAAATTCAAACTTTTCTCCACTTATCATGATGTTGCTTACTGGTCCAGTTGTGAGGAGTTTTGTTTTGTTTTTTTTTAAATGTTGAGGTGTAATCCATACTGAAGGCTGTAGTGTTTGAGCTTCCTCAGTAAGAGCTTCAAGTTCTCTTCGCTTTCAGCAAGCAAGATTGTGTCATCTGCATATCGAAGGTTGTTAATGAGTCTTCCTCCAATTCTGATGCCATGTTCTTCTTAATATAGTCCAGCTTCTTGTATTATTTGCTCAGCATACAGACTGAATAAGTATGGTGAAAGGATACAACCGTGATGCACACCTTTCTTGACTTTAAACCACGCAGTATCCCCTTGTTCTGTTTGAATGACTGCCTCTTGGTCTACGTACAGGTTCCTCACGAGCACAGTTAAGTGTTCTGGAATTCCCATTCTTCACAATGTTATCCATAGTTTGTTATGATACACACAGTCGAATGCCTTTGCACAGTTAATAAACTAGAGGTAAACATCTTTCTGGTATTCTCTGCTTCCAGCCAAGATCTATCTGAAATTAGCAATGATATCCCTCGTTCCGCGTCCTCTTCTGCATCTGGCTTGAATTTCTGGCAGTTCCCTGTCAATGTACTGCTGCAATCACTTTTGAATTATCTTCAGTAAAATTTTACTTGTGTGTGATATAAATGATGTTGTTCGATAATTGCATTCTGTCGGATCACTTTTCTTTGGAATGGGCACAAATATGGGTCTCTTCCAGTCGGTTGGCCAGGTAACTGTCTTCCAAATTTCTTGACATAGACAAGTGAGCACCTCCAGTGCTGCATCTGTTTGCTGAAACATCTCAGTTAGTATTCTGTCAATTCCTGGATCCTTTTTTTCGCCTTCAGTGCAGCTTGGACTTCTTCCTTCAGTACCATCGGTTCTTGATCATATGCCATCTAATTTCTAATTCATAGAAACTCCCATTTATTCATGCCTTTGTTTTCTATCTTCATACACTGTATCTCAAAGTTCTGCCCTCAATCACATGGTGCCTGAACTTGTTATAATTCTTTGGTATAGGACCTTGTTTCGGAAGTTTTTAGTTATTTCCATCACTCTTTTATTAAGTATCACAGAAAAACAAAGTTTAGAGGTTAAGCAGTCAGGTTTTGACGTCACACAGATAACGAGCTCTGTCTCTTACTGGCTGTGTGACTTAAGCAAGTTATTAAATCTCTCTGAGCTATAAAATAGAGATGATAGTATCTACTTCAGAGGGCTATCACACCCATAAAATGAGGTACATGTGGCAGTCATTAGTGCTATGGCCCAAATATTTTAGGTTTTTCCCCCTTTCAGGACCATACATGATAGGATTGTGCTCCCTGTCCCCTTGAAGTTAGGTGTGCCCATGTCACCTGCTTTAGCCAATGACTTGTGACTTGTGTCATTTCTGGACAGAAACCCAGAGAGTCAGCACAATTCTTCATGTTCTCTTTTTTCTTTGCTGCAACAACCAGCAATGACTGAGACAGTAGCTACCTTGTCAACCAGAATACCAGAGTAAGGACATGTAAAGGAGATCTTCCCTCCCCCAGCCCTGCCACCCCAGTCAATCCACAATGGACATGTAACATGAAGGAGGGAGAAACAAATAAAAGTGGTTTCAAGTCACTAAGGTTTTGGGTTGTTTGTTACTGTAGCATAGCATGAGCTATCCTAACTGATACACGTCATAAAACATTTGGCCCAGCACCTTATTCATAATGTTGTCAGTTGCCGTGGAGTCGATTTTGATTCATGGTGACCCCATGTGTGCAGAGTAGGACTACTCCAAAGGGTTTTCAAGGCTGTGAACTTGCAGAAGCAGATCTCCAGGCCTGTCTTCCAGGGCACCTCTGGGTGAGTTCAAACTGTCAAGCTTTTGGCTAGTAGTTGAGTGCTTAACAACTTGCACCACCCAGGGACTCCTTTATATACAATAAGTGCTCAATAAACAGTAGCTATCATTATTACTGGAGCCCTGGTGGCACAGTGATTAAGAGCTCAGCTGCTAACCAAAATGGTGGCAGTTCGAATCCACCAGCCGCTCCTTGGAAACCCTGTGGGGCAGTTCTACTCTGTCCTATGCGGTCACTATGGAAATCGATTCAATGGCAACTGGTTTGGTTTTTTGGTTTTTATGATTATTATTAACATATTACTATTTTATCTTTCGTGTGTGCTGTTTTTATTACTAAAAAAAAAAATCCAATAAGAGAGAAGAGCCCATGACCCCTGAATAAGTCAGACATTTACCAACTAATATATGCTTTCTTTTACTTAAGTCTCTAACAGTTAAGCTAATCAAGTTGCATTTAAATCGTACGTTCTCACCATTGTTAAGAAAATTCCAAATTCTGGATTTAAGTCAACACAATCACCATCAGAGAAAATGAACTGTTTTTTCCTCTCTTTTCTTGCTGTCAAAACAATATATATTTGTTGGGCTGCCACTGATAATACAGGCAATTCAATTCTGTTAAACTCATCAAAACAACCCCAGGAACCCGACTGTGCAAGGCCTGAAATGAAAAACAGTCAATTTGCAAAGTTTTATTTTATAATAGTCCTTCCTAATAGCACTCATTTTCCCAGAGTACTCCTAAACCATTGTATATTGAAACATGGTTTATGCAAAGTTTCCTACCTGGTTGTTTATAAAGACATATTTCATTCCAGTGATAAAGAGGGGTATAATTATTTGTATTATCATCACCAAAACAATGAAAACAGTACACTACTAAAATGAAAGTCATTACAGTCAGGAATGGTAACAGCTGACAAAACTTGACCCAGTATGGGAAGGGGGTGGATGGAACCATGATAGGGGATACATTCCTTAAGTTGTGGGGAAACTGACAAAATAAAGGAAGCACCCCTCTGGGTCAGATCTCTCATTATTCCCTTTTTATCACTATTACATAGATATTTCTGGATGCTGGGTGAGACAGGGAAGGGCCAAAAGGATTTCTTTCTTTTTTAACTTAAAAAAAAAAAAAAAAAAAACTTTGTTTTTTATAGCATTTTTAGGTTTACAGAAACTGTGCAGAAAGCACAGAGGGTTCCCTTTTACTCCCTCCACCCTGCACACTGTCTCTCCTATTAACATCTTACATTCCCGTGGTACATTTGTTGCAATTGATGAACTAATATTGATACATTATTATTAACTAAAGTCCACAGTTCACATTAAGTAAAATGATTTTTATTTATTGCTTACAAAACGTAACACAGAGCAAGACCTGGATATCGTGAACATTGCTCCAGCCCTCAAGAATCAAAACCTTTACTATCTTCAGCTATCTGAAATGCTCATTTCTTCTATTGTATCTCCCTTCAATCTTCCCTTCTCTCCTTTGGGAATTTTCATTATACAGATGTTGGAACTCATGTATCTATCCCTATGACTCTTAAGTTTTTTGGTCAAACTCCATCTCTTTGTCTTTTTGCAATGTATTCTCTTGGCTAGATATTCCAACTCAAGAGAGTTTTGTTTTTTTTTTTTTCTTCATTTATGTTTTCGATTTCCAACAACTCCAATTTTTTTTATAGCAGCCTGTGTGTTTTTTTTTTTTTTTTTAATTGGTTGTTAGTGATAAATTCTTGACTCTCTCTGAAGCTTTTAATTTTATTTATTTTTACATTTCCTTCTGTTTCCTCTATTAATTCAGTTCAGTAGTCTCTTTACTGCATTGGGTGCCTGTCCACTTTTTCATATATTTTATGAGACTTTGTTATCTCTGCCTAATGGTTTTTTAATATGTATTTCCTCAGCCCACATGCAAATTTGTTTGCAGAATGCATACCTGGCTCTGGTGGTTTGGTGTGAGGTATAGGATAGGCAGGAGAATGACTCAAAGGTTTTTGTCTGAACATTTGGGAGAACGAGTGGCCATTTACCGAGACGGGGAAGGCTTAGGAATGAGTAGATATGGAGAGCAGTAGGGGAGAGCAGGAGTTTGATTTTGGATAAACAGAATTTGGACTATTATGAGTCAGAATCGACTCAACGGCACAGAACAACAACAGAATTTCAGAAAGAGCACTGGTGGTATGACAGTTAAGCACTCAACCGCTTGCCAGTTTGAATCTACCCAGCAGCTCCGTGGGAGAAAGAACTGGAGAGCTGCTCCAGTAAAGATTACAGCCTAGAAAATCCTATGGGGCAGTTATACTCTGTCACACAGAGTCACAGTGAGTCAAGCATCAACTCAATGGCACCTAACAACAACAACAGATATTTAAGTGGAGGTGTCAGTAGGAGACGTTTGCAGTTTCAAGAAAGCCAAATTAGAAACGTAAATTTGGGAGTCATCATATAGATGGTATTTAAATCTTGGGTCGGCATCATACCAGCAAGAGAATGAGAGTCAACAGACAAGCAAAGACCAACAATGACTGAGCTCTAGGACTGAAGTGTTCTGTGGTCTTTTTTCTCTATCCAGCTGAAACCACCTCCGATTGATCTTTCAGGATTTTCTCAAAATTTCCCATCTACTAATGGCTCCCTTTCTTGTTTTCCAGTGTTTGTGCTTTTAAAAATTCCTTTATTTCAGAACTATCTATATGGGATCAAACTGACAACAGCAACTCAAAAGGTTAGATAGGAACCTTAGGGTGAGAACGGTTACACAACTGGAAGAATGTAATCAATGTCAGTAAGTGGTACATGTAGAAACTGTTGAACTGGTGCGTGTTTTGCTGTGTATATTCTCAACAACAAAATAAATACAACTATACAAAAAAAGAAAATCCTTCATCTCAGTGGATATAAAGTAGGAAGGAAAGTTGCATGTGTGATCAGTTTTCTATCTTGATCTTATCTCCACCATTGTTTCAGGCAATAAACTGATTCAATTTTCATAATCCAATCGATATCCCACACGTGGAATGTAACACCAGCAATAGTACTGAAACATGAAATTGATGATATTCGACCATTTTGACCTAGAAAAATGGCAATACCGTATGGATTAACCCATACTGATGTTGATTATCTGAAACAATATCACAATCAATTTATATCAGAAAATAATGTAGAGGTACAATAAAAATAAATTCAACAAAAATAATTTAACATCGTTTTGACACTTGCCTTTAAAAATCCTTCCTAGGCCTCTGAAATCCATTTGATCTGAGCAGTTGAACACAACCACATATTTTCCCAAACACCTTCCCATGTCTTTGGTGGTCTCTGTTTTGCCAGTGCCTGCAGGTCCTGCTGGAGCACCACCCATGTTCATTCCCAAAGCCTGTGCTAAAGTGATATAGCATCTGCAAATGTCAATCAGATAAAATATTGTTAATACAGGATAATCCGTATTAGAGTAAAGCACAAGCAAAAGCCCAGGAATAACAGGAATGAGCCTGTTTATATTCCAATTTGAGCAGGCCACATAAAAGAGATAGGGGCCCAAACAAAGCTGGGGTAAAAACCAAAACCAAACCCACTGCTCTCGAGTCAATTCCAACTCATACTTGCTATTTATTAGAAGTAGTACAGTGATTCCAAAAATTACTTGGGGCAAACGTCTAAACTCCTTAACATTGATTTAAAACCTTCAGGCTTTCTCTCCCATTGTGGTCAGGATAAGCTGCAAAATCAGAAAACCAAATAAACGGTGGTATGCTGGTAAATGTTTAACAACTGGCTCTCAGGATGGGGGCAGTACTGATTTGTACTTTTGCCAATTTCTATGGTGTAAATACTTCCACTATGGCCAATGGCAAGCTATCAGTCTAATGTCACTGAATCCAGAATTGGGAAGAGGTGCACATAGTCAGAGCACATCCATTGCAGAGATGTTTTTTACTATGAAATATTTCACTCATTTAGAAAAGTAGAAAAAATAATATAATTAATCTCCTTGTATCTGTGATTCAGCTTCTGCTATATTTACTTAAGATCTAAGTAAAATTTAGTAAAGATCTTAGGAAAGCTTAGTGAGATGTGAAGCTTAACACGTAAACACCACTGGAAGAGAAAGAACACTGACAAATGTATGCTGCAATGGCACTGGGCATCTAAAGGGAGAGGCTGGATGAATAAAGAGGAGGCTAAAGATGTAATTTGACTGCATCATAATTTTACTTGGAGGCACCCCTATTTAAACTACTGGTGGGATTAAATGTTATATAACCCAATTTAATCCAATTGTACAAATATGTATTGAACGTCTTCTAGGCACAGTGTATTGAACTGGTGCTGTGAGATATAACCAATAACCAGTTGCCATCAAGTCAACTCCTACTCATGGTGATTCCATGTGTGTCAGAATAGAACTGTGCTCCATAGAGCTTTCAGTGGCTAATTTTTTGGAAGTAGATCGTGAAGCTCTTTTTCTGAGGCACCTCTAGGTGGACTCAAGCCTCCAATCTTTCGGTTAGCAGCCTAGTGCACTAACCATTTGCACCACTCAGGGACTTCTGTTGTGGGATACAGAAAGATGAAAAAGGCCCAGTTCTTATCCAGTGTGATCTACTGCAAAGAGCTGCGGGGGGATCGCTATTGACTTGTTATTCAGACTTGGCTAAGAAACTTCACTTTAGGCATCCATTTCCTCATTTGAAAGACGAGGAGACTGAATTAGATCTCCAAAGTTCCTTCCTTCTTTACAATTCTGAAGACTTGCTTTATGGTTATTTTTCCATCTTGGAAACTAAGATTCATTACTAGATTACTCAGTCACATTCAAGTTTGCCTTCATTCTTACATATTTTTCTGCTTCATAAAATTTTAATGTACATGTGTAAGTAACAGATAGTTATTTCATTGTTAGACTGACTTTGATGAGGTAGCATACACTCAACACAACAGCAATATGCTTTTGTTAATACTTTAATGCAATTTTAGGATGCTTTTCAACACTTTAATTAATTACAAAATGAAACAACAAAAAATGTATTTCTTACCTATCTGTTAATGGAGTGATAACAAGACGATCAGTGCATCCTAGAAATTCATTTTGATAAATAAAATCAACATCTGTAATAGACACCACAGTTTGATCCAAATCTTCCTTAAAATAAAACCTGCTCTGTTTTAGCCATTCAAAATCAGTAATTGATTTGATATGCATTTTCACCTTAAAAATACAAAATACAAAAAGTTACATACCTGAATTACAATCGCATGAAACATACACGTATTATTCACTCATTTATTATGAACGATTTTCATCCATTTAACAAATAACAAATTTTTACTGAGGCCCTCCTTGTGCTTTACAATGTGCTGAGTGAACAAGAAAGATGTGGTTTCTTGTCTTCTGGAGTTTACAGAAAAGGGCAAAAGACAAACGGTTAAATGAGTAATTGCAATGGTGGGTGAAAAGCGGTACCAAAGAAGTTCAGGGTTCATGGAAACATGTAGCAAGAGGACCTAACCTGTTCTTGGGGGTTTGCGAGGGAACTCAGAAACTTAAATAAGGTATAGCAGGTAGGAGGCGTGCCCTGGGCTCCGCTTGAGGCGGGGCACCAATGAGCAGTTTCTATTGGCCATCAGTTTCCATCGCCAGCTGTGAGAGATCATTCAGCAACTTAACACTAATTGCCCTAGGCCTATTTTCCACAGATAGCAAAACCCAAACCAAACTTGTTGCCATCGAGTCATTTCCGACTCACAGCGACCCTACAGGGCAGAGTAGAACTGCCCCATAGGGTTTCCAAGGAGCAGCTAGCTGGTGGATTCGAACAGCCGACATTTTGGTTAACACCAAAGCAATTAATTACTATGCCATCAGAGCTTCTACTTTCTGTGGCTAGGCCCCTGATACTGTGATGTTTAATGTTATGTGGCAGCTTGGCTAAGCTGTGATTCTCAGTGGGTTGGCAGACACTGGACTGGGTGCTCTTCCATAACTTAATACAGGAAAGCCTGCGAAAGCAGGAACCTGTGTAAGGAGGAAACCTGTCAGAGAAGGAAAACTCAAATATTTTCCACTAATAGAGAGTAATAGAAAAGTGGTGAAGACTGCACCCTGTCAAAGGCGGAAAACTTGCAAGACCCGGAAAAACAAGGCAGTTCCGTCAAGTTCCGGCTCTCACAGGTTTCACTGTTTAATGTAATCACCTTCTATTATGTGATCTGATGTGATCATCCAATCAGTTGAAAGGGAAATTTGGGGGAGGAGGGGGTTGTGTGGCCTGCCTCCAGAATATAAATGAATGTTCTGAGAATGCTCCTCCCCTCTCCCCCTACCTCCCCCCTGCAGGCTTCTGCTCCCCTAACCTCTGGTCCTTGGGACATAAGCCTGCAGAATTCTCTGGCCTGCCACCTGACCTACAGATTTTGGATTCCCCAGCCTCTGCAATCCTGTCTCCAGCCTGCTGCCAGACCACGGATTTGAACTTTGCCAGCACCCACAATTTTGTGAGCCATTTCCTTGAACTAAATCTCTCTCAAAAACAAACCACACCCGTTGCAGTCAAGTCAATTCCAACTCATAGTGATCCTATAGGACAGAGTAGAACTGCCCCATAGGATTTCCAAGGAGTGGCTGGTGGATTCAAACTGCTGACCTTTCGGTTAGCAGCCAAGCTCAACCATTGCGCCACCAGGGCTCCAATCTCTCTCTATGTATTTATATATACGTTTCACTGGTTTTGCTCCTCTAGAGAATCCAGACTAAGGTACTCAGAGAAACAGACATCTAAACTAAAACCTAGATAAACAGTAGGAATTCATCAAGAAAATGAAACCAAAGAGTGATGGGCTATAGGAGGGAAGAATGTTCTAGGCAAAGACGCAGAAGATCTGGTTGGTATGTAAGAAGTTCATACAACTGGGGCATTCAGGGCTCTAGAGAGAAGAGTTAGAGTTGAGGCTTCAGAGGGCTAATGGAAGGGGTTTGGGCACTGTCATGGCAATGGGAAGACAGTGAAGGAATTAAGCAAGGAGATGCATAATCATATGTGCACATGTGCCTTCCTGCCCCCACACTGTGGCCAAGGTGCCCAACCAAGATACCCAACCTCTTCCGCTATACCAGGCTGCCCAGTCATCAGCATACGCCTACCAGGCAAGAGTTACTGGGCTCCCATGCCACGGATGCAAGCTTTAGTACCTAGACCATTAGAAGAGCTGGAAACCAGATAAGTACTTTTAGGAAGTACATTCCGTCACAACCACATTCTGGGGTGCTTCATGACTTTCACTGGCAAACTTGGAGAAACCCCAGTCCTGTTCTCCCGGGGGAATCAACTTTGGAAAGTAGATTTTGGTCCCTTTCACTGCTCTTAAACCCACCAGGCTCACTTCCAGGTCGTTCAGCTGACACCACTTAAAAGCGGGCCTCTGGCAACTTCACATGTTCAGACCTCCATCTAACCTAGTCTCCATATTCCTCGCTTTACTACCTACAGTCTTGTTGTTGTAACTTTGTTTCATTGCTTATAGCCAGGGGCCTATCTATTGAAAATAGTGCCTATGGCAATTAGTTTTACATTCCTGAAAGATCTCTACAGCTGGCCGTGGAAACCACTATGGCCAACAGAAAGTGCTCATCAGCGCCCCTTCTCAAGCGGCACCCAGGGCACGAGCCCTACCTGCTGTACCTTAGTTACACCTCTGCTTACAGCCTTGCCTCACCCTCCAGTTTGGAATTCTGGCTTCTCTTAAAGCACAGTTTGTATGCATCACCTTAGAAGAGCTACTTTCAGGTAACATAGTCCAGCCCCACCCTGAAGGACTCTGCTTTCTAATGCAAGCTTCAGAGCCATGGAGATCCAGTCAGCTTTTAACAGATGATCAAATCAAAACCAGGCCTGTTGCTGTCGAGTCAACTCTGACTCGTGGCAACCCCAAGTGTTACAAAATGAAACGGCTTCATACAGTTTTCTTGGCTGTAATCTTTACCAGAAGCAAATTGCCAGGCCTTTCTTCTGCAGTGCTGCTGGATGGGTTCAAACCATGAACCTTTAGGTTAGTAGTTGAGTGTAAACCATATGCGCCCCCCAGGGACCTCTTTCAACAGACGATGAAGAGGAGGAAAAGGAGGAGAATAGCTAATATTTGTTGAGTTCTTACTCTAAACCAGGCTGCCCTAAGTATTATACACAGAAAATAAAACGCATATGTATGCTGTTCCTGAGATCTCATTTAGTTGGGGTGCAAACTGACTATGAGCTCCATGGTGGCTAAGATAAAAGCAAAACAATTTCATAGTTTTCATTGTGTATAGGCTTAAAAAGTAGCCCTGGTGGCAAAATGGTTAAGTAAGTGCTCGGCTGCTAACTGAAAGGTTGGTGGTTCGAACCCACCCAGCGGCTCCTCAGGAGAAAGACCTGGTGATCCGCTTCCATAAAGATTACAGAAGGCAGTTGTACTCTGTCCCATAGGGTAGCTATGAAACAACACCCATTTAAAAAAAAAAAAAAACTTTTGCCTTCGAGTCAATTCTGACTCATAATGGCACTACAGAACAGAGTAGAACTGCCCCATAAGGTTTCCAAGGAGCGGCTGGTGGATTCAAACTGCCAATCTTTTGATTAGCAGTCAAGCTCTTAACCACTGTTCCATCATTATGAAGGGAAAGCAGA